TAGTTCAGGCAAAACGGTAGTGGCGACCCACCTGCCCCAGCGCTATGCTGTCCTATTTAGCCACATTTTCTAAGCCGCGTGCATGTGTGCAAGCCACGCATGTGAGCAAAGCGCATGCATGGAAGGCTGTGCACGTGCGCTCACATTTTCGGCAAACTGGTGGTAAAATTGTGTGAAACCCACCTCTGCATACAGCCTACTGCTAGAGAAAGAGATGGAGGCTACTTGCTCCTGTTCTTAAGTATTTGTATCGAGTTGGTACTTCTATGCAAAGGGACAGTTAGCCGTCATTTAGATTTAAATTCTTTTGAGCGAGAAAACTCCAAGCATCAAAGAAGAACTCAAATTCCTGTCACTGACCACCGACTATCCCATGGAGAGAACAAACCTAGTTCTGGAATTTCCCAACAGTTGGAACAACTAATCATTGGAATGATTTGCCTCCAGAAGTTATGGGTGCTCTAACACGGGAGATTTTTAAGGAGAGCTCAGGCAACCATTTGTCTAAGATGATATAGGGTTTCCTGCTTGGGCAGTGGGTTGGACTAGAAGACCTCCAAGGACCCTTCCAACTCTGTTTTTCTGTTCTGTCTATTCCAACTGCCATTGAAGCTTCTAAGTGTCCACAGTACCATCAGGGACTATAATTCTACATCATACCAGGGACTAAAGGCTGCCCAACCACCTGTTTTATACTCATGAGAAGCAGATGGCAGTTGGGCCGTCCAGAATAGTCTACTTCTCCATCTGGCTAGTGGAATTTTTGGATCAGATGATGCTCATTCTCTGCTAAGCAAGGTTACACAATACTGATACTAAGAAGACTCACCATTAGCAGGGAAGAGCAAAACAAATGGAGCCATAATTAATGGTTGCAGATTCAAATGTATTGCTGGGGTGCCAATATATTTGAAATTTGCACTCAGTAATCGAACAGAATGTATCTCTCCTTATTCAGGATGTCTAAGTTCGCGAGTGATGAATTAAATACATTTTGCACATTTTAAAGGCAATATCTTCTTCCCAATTGCTCCACAGGCATTTGGGTTGACTCTTGGCATGAACAACGTCTATTACATCACAACAGATGCTGGCCTTTAGACCATCATCCTGTATTTTACTCTCCTGGAAGAAAAATTGGTTGGAATTATTGGAATTTACTCCTAGGTAACCTCACCCAAAAATGCATTGCTGTAATAGTACTGGGCACAAAGGCTAATTACATGAAGTTTTTTCCCCCTGTTTTATCTCCTAAAATGCTCCACCAGTAGGTACAACTGATTAAAGCAAAAATCCATAAAAACGGCACTGTAGCAGTGGTGTCAGAAGCAACTGAATCAACAGCAATCTAGGCATTCAGAGTATTGGAGAGAATAATGACTCCCAATAACCACCAGAAATCTGGAAAACAAATAATGTACAGATAACACACACTAGCTGAACAAGTGTAGGGAGTGCAATGACATCTTTCTGAAAGTTGTACTTACCAAAGACTCCAGAAATGGAATCATTCTACAGCAAATGTAATTGTAAATCACCACAGTGTAAAAAAGATGTTGGGACTCTAGAAAGAGTGCAGAGAAGAACAACAGAGATGATTAGGGAACTGGAGGCTAAAACATATGAAGAACAGTTGCTGGAATTGAGTATGTCTAGTTTAAGGGAAAACATGGGGTGACATGATAGCAGTGATCTAATATCTCAGGGGTTGCCACAAAGAAGAGAGAGTCAACCTATTTTCCAAAGCACCTGAAGGCAGGACAAAAAGCAATGGATAGAAACCAATCAAGGAGAGAAGCAACCTAGAACTAAGAGGAGATTTCCTGACAGTGAGAACAATTAACCAGTGGAACAGCTTGCCTCCAGAAGTTGTGGATGCTCTAATACTGGAAGTTTTTAAGAAGAGATTGTACAACCATCTGTCTGAAATGGTATAGGGTTTCCTGCCTGAGAAGGAGGTTGGAGTAGAAGACCTCCCACGTCCCTTCCAACTCTGTTATTCTGTAACCTGTAAATGACAGAACATGAAAAAGGCATCTGATTAATCAATTCCACAATCAGACCGCATCCATAGAAAAGACAATATTTAGCTTGTGTATTTGTTCAGCTTAATTTGGCTTGCTCTTCCTCTTGTAAGTACTCCAGAGTCATTGACATGACTCCTTTCCTTGTTTGATTCACAAAAGATACTCATGGAGATAGGTTAAAGAGAGAGAGAGAGAGAGAGAGAGAGAGAGAGAGAGAGAGAGAGAGATGGTGGAAAATACAAAGATTTGGCACTGTGGAATGTTGTAGTCACAGGAAGGTCACTTTATGGAAGATACAAACATCTAACAGTGCAAAATGGTGTGGTCATAGCCAGGCACAAAATTAAAATCTGAGAAGAAGAAGAAGGTGGAAATTTGAGTAATGGAAACTTGAGAAGGATTTGCTACTTACCTTTAATGAATCATATATCATTCTTTACCACTGAAACAAAAATTCTAGTGAACTATGAAGAGTATATTGTTTCAAAGGATAGAAGCCTTTCCATTCTTTACTGGTTCTCACCTTGTTACACCTGGTAGTTGTAGCTGATCACTTCATTGGTGACCTGGCATCTCCTGCCCAACCCACTCTTTCTTTTGGTTCTGTGCACCTGGGAAATAAATGATCATGGGGGATCTTGAACTGCTCAGAAACCCAGGCAACTGTTTACAACTGTGTTGTGTGACGTAAGAACCTCATTCCATAGTTTTGTCTGTCTTGCTAGCAATGTGTGACTCTGCTGAGGACCCTCATAAATTCTTAAATTCCTGGTCTTCCTTTCCATCGCACCAACCTTCTCACCTGATTCCTACCCCTTTCCTTAGTTTTCACCTGGTTTCTGCATTTCTTTTACCTTTTCTTTGACTTTGGGTGGCTTCCATTCAGACCTCAAACCCAAACTGCTTCAGCAAGCGTCATGTTCAGAAGAGCTTTCTACATCACAGTGCAAAACATTATAGGCATTGTCAGGTGCTTTAAGTCTGTTTTTTCAGGATGATTCTTCCTGACCCACCCACTGGCAGGGCACATGCCTATATCTCAGCGTGAGCTGCCAAGTGGAGCATAATCGAGCATCCGCCTCCAGCAAATCTGTGTCAGCCAGAACACAGTTGGGAAATAGAGGCAATCTGGCACAGGCGGTACAGAAGGAACCGATCTGCTAGATGACAAGTGCCTCCTGTTTCAAATGTGACTATATGACAACTTAATTTGCAGTACAAGAATTAACCCCATTCTCACCACTGTCCTGGATTAGTTTAATTAATGACTTATTTGCAACCGTTGGCCACAGGCAGATGGGCTGTGTGTTGAAACGGCTGGTACTTGGGTTCATAAAGGAAGCTCATTTAAAATTGTGGAAATTGTCTTGCTTATAAACAGGTTTATAGGCAATTTAAAATTGGCCTTTGATGTCAGGAATGTGCCATAACTAATGAGTGCATGTAAAACTATGTTTAAGTAACCGTTCCAGAAACTGTGTGTCAGTCTGCATTTACAAACATTACAATACAGACAATACAAACACTTCCCAACATGTACCAAATAAAAGGCTAAGAGAAACGCCTTCATATTCTTCATATTTTATAGGTATGTGAAAATTCATATCATTCTATACCCGTCACTATATTGAGTTTTAACAATTCACTCACCCAGTAATTGTGCAGTTGACATTTCTACAATTCCTTGAAAAATGGTGTGAAATCATATATATATATCACTCTATTCATAGAGAGAGAGAAGAGAGAGAGAGACAGAGGAAGGAGGGAGAGAGGGGGGAGAGAGGGGAGAGAGGGGGAGAGGAGAGAGAGAAGAGAGGGGGGAGAGAGGGGAGAGGGAGAGGAGAGAGAACAATTTTTCCTGGATTTTTGCTAAACATTTCCTTACTATTATATGGATCTTGAAATAGTTCTGATCCCATTGGGAGAGAAAAGATGAATCTCTTTGAACAGCACATCCATGATTTTGGTGGAATTTTGTCATAGTTCTAAAGTTGTATTCTGTGTCTCCAAAAAGTACCAGTTCTTGGGTTCCTATATCAGGACCATACACATAATTCAAGCAAAATCAGGCTACTATTAGGCTTTGTAAGAAATTTGATGATGCACGACATAAGAAAATAGATCATGTCTGCAAACCCACCAATTACTTTTGTATTTTGCTTCTCTTCTGAGAAAAGAGGAGGAAGAAAACAATGGAGCTGAGAGGCTGGCATGTCTACTGTCTAATCACAGGTTTACTTTTATTAGGAGTCTTCTTGGGCTTTGACAAAAGGCATCCTATGCCTTGAGATGCTTAGTTTGATCCAAACCCAAAATGCATGGGCAAATGGTTTTGTTTTGTTTTGCTTTTTCTAAAAAAAAGTAATACAGCTAAAGAAGCCTGGTTGGAAGATCAAGAATGCAAAATAATTCTTCGCTGAAAGTATCAAGAGGATTATAGACAGTCGCTCCTTGTTAAGCACCATGATAATGGAGTCCCTGAAATTTGTCAGTTCAAATGCCTTAATAAAATAGTAAAATGCTTGCAAGAGTCATGTCCCTCAGGAATAAAATGGCCTCAGCTGTCCCTGTGAAGATCTGTTTTTCTGCTGTAAGGAAGATAAGTAAGGATGCCTTTGGCTCCCTTACTTATCTATTCTGCTCAACAAATCCTTTGGATCTATCCAGATATAGAATTGAAGATACATAGCAAATGAGTGACCTTCCCATAGTCATTTGGGGAAGAAATTGCCAAACAAGTAGTAATTGCTCCCAGATTTACCCTGCCTTTAAAGCTATCATTCCTTCAAGAAAAGGGATTTCATTGTTGGGCCATTAGATTTTAGACACTGAAAGGTCAAATTGGTATCTTGGCTAGTTACCGCACATCCATACATCACAACAGTAGAGCAAACGGGAGCCTTTCTTCAGAAAGACACAGTTCTGTACACAAAAGCATGAAAGGTAATAAATTGGCCATTGTTTTTTTTACAGATCCACCTCTCGTCAATCTGTCAGTAGAACCTCAGCCTGTCCTTGAAGACAATACAGTAAAGTTTCACTGCTCTGCCAAAGCTAATCCAGCAGTTACACAATACAGGTAAGTTCATAAGTTTGTAAGTTCGTCTGGAAATAACCATCATTTATCCTTGCTTGCTTGCTTGAATATTTTAGACTGCTTACAACCATAGAAATGCTTGTTACTATTTCTATTTATTGGGGTTTTAAATTTGAGCCACTTATTTAATTATTTTAAATTTTATATCATTGTTTTGTCTGTGTTTTTAAATAGGCTGTACACCGCCCTGAGTCCTTCGGGAGAAGGGCGGTATAGAAATAAAATTATTATTATTATTATTATTATTATTATTATTATTATTATTATTATCTGTTCCCTTGAATGTGTAAAACAAAACTGATTAATAATTAAAGCCAACTCAATCACTGCATCTGATGTAAACATTAGCTGGGCTAAGAAGTTATAGTTTTCTACTTGCAGGCAACAATAGGAAACATAAGGAGTAGATATGTTGAGTTGCTGGGAAGATAGTATTTCCAAAAAAATTAACAGTACTTTTTTTTTTCTGCTATATCTGTTTGTTAGTAGACATTTAGAGTAAAATGATCCACAAGTATATATTCTAGGGCCGTGATGGCGAACCTATGGCACGCATGCCACAGGTGGCACACCAAGCCATATTGGTGGGCATGCGAGTGTTGCCTTAGCTCAGCTCCAGCACGCATGCGTTTTGGGTCTTCTGGGCCCACCGGAAGTGTTTCCGGCCTCTGGAGTGGTGGGGAAGGCTGTTTTTGCCGTCCCCGGGCTTCTAGAAAGCCTCTGGAGCCTGGGGAGGGCAAAAAACGGGCCTACCGGGCCCACCAGGCCATCACATGCCAAAAGTGGGGGGAGCATGGGGGGGTTGCGCGCACATGCATGGGAGGGGCAGGGCACATAGAATTATGGGTGTGGGCATGCGCCCCTGCGACCACCCCACACTCCCCCAGCTTTTGGCATGCAATGGCAAAAAGGTTAGCCATCATTGTTCTAGGGACTAAGATTCACTATTAAACTTAAGCTAACAATGTGTTTCAAGAGTCATGGTCAACACTATATAAATAACGGAATAGAATTATATATTCTAGTCAATTCAGTCCACTGGTGGGTTGCCCCCAATTCGGACCGTTTCGCAAGAACAGGTAGTAAAGCCGACGGGAGGCTCTGCTCACTTACCCGGACATCATCATAGGTGATCTGTGCATGCGCAGAAGAGTGCGCACATGCCCGACTGGAATTCTTTTTGACGGTCTCACAGTTGGGAGGCACAGATTAATGGGACAAGAAACATTTAGCAGATATTGTCCTCTTTGAATCAAACATACCTGTCAACAATACTTAATTTTCCTAATTCTTCATTTGAATTTCTTGCAGCTTTGATACTTCCTGGTGGTCTCTCTTTTGAGCATTAACTATATTGAGTTTGTTGAGTTTTGCCAAGGTCAGCTAGAGGTTGCTTCAAGATGGGAAATGTTTTTTTAAGCTTAGTGTAGGAGATGACCAGGCTGAGCTCAAGGGAGGGGTCAAATGCAGTAGTTCAGATTCTTGTAGAGAACTTAAGCTTGCAATAAACCTTTATGCCCTTTTGAACTGCCTGGATCGTGTGATTTCTGTAGCACTTGACACTTAACAGTTCTTCACTATTAAGATAAACTTTCACTTGTAAAACCCCTTTGTCCTACTCACTACATCCACCACCAGGTCCAAAGCTCCTGGTATCATTTCTGTGAATCATCCATTGAAAGTTGGATTGCTTAACTGGCTGGGAATGTCTCTGTTTTCATCCAGACATTCTTTGAGTACTGCTTTATTAAACCATTTATAAGTACAGACTCAAAAAGAGCAGATGTGGAGGGGGACTGTTGTTTTAGTCCAATTAACTGCTTGGAATATGGAAGACATGCTCTTCTCTAGCTGAACACGGCACACTTCTGCTGATTTCTCACTTCTGTCCCTAGGCTGAGCAGATAAAGCTGGTGACAGGCCCACCAAATGTTGCACTGGAAATTCTTTGTGTTGATGATGTTGTTATTCAGTAATGAACTCCAGTTGTCTCAGCTTGGTAACAGTCTGTGTGGATTTTGTTGGAGCTGCTACCGTAACACATGTGGCAGCTTCTTCCTGATCTAACATACTGAGGCTGTTTAGAAAGCATTGACAGTGGACAAGCAAAACCATCTGCTCAGAGATGTAACTTACAGAACTCACATGCTGAATGTGGACTCTGTTTTGGAAAGAATTGCTTTATTATATGTTTCCTGCATAGCATTTGACTTCATGACTTCAACTTTGTTAATTTCATTAAAGCCACCTACATGATGGCTTTTCAACTTTTCTCCCAGACATGTTAAATGTCTGGGAGATCCAGATCTACGACTCTTCAGAAGCTTAATATCTGGAGGTAGAACAAAGATACAAATTTGGCTGATGTTGAAGGACAACAACCACGCACAATATCTTCTTGCTGTCTGGAGCGCCAGTCCCATTCACATAAAAGGCCCAAGTTCACTTAAGATGGTACCAGGGGTGAAATTCAGCATGTTCTGACAGGTTCTGGAGAGCCAGTAGCAGAAATTTTGAGTAGTTTGGAGAGCCGGCAAATACCACCTCTGGCTGGCCCCAGAGTGGGGTGGGAATGGAGATTTTGCAATATCCTTTCCCTGCCATGCCTACCAAGTCACGCCCACCAAGCCACACCCACAGAACCAGTAGTAAAAAAAATTGAATTTCACCACTGGATGGTACATACTTTAAGAGAAAAAGTAACTTGCTAAATTTTGTTTTTCTGTTGCTTGCCTGACTCCTTGATTATGAAACAAAGAATAAATATAGAATAGAATAGAATAACAGAGTTGGAAGGGACCTTGGAGGTCTTCTAGTCCAACCCCCTGCTTAGGCAGGAAACCCTACACCACTTCAGACAAATATGGCTTTTATATGCCTCATCTTGGCCATCAGCAAATACATTTGTTAACTTTCTCTCTTCTGAGAAAGCTTCTAGAGAGGTGACAAGAATGGCTCCCATATTCCTGGGCCTCAATTCTACAATTCCATGATTCTGTATTTATCAAAGTGGGACTCAATCAGTCTGTTAGGAGAGCACAGGGTATTCTTTTACTCACCTAAATGCTGTGTAAACTGTTTGGTAACTTCAAATATTCTTACCAATGTTTTTTTAGGGTATCCTTTTTTTTTTAAGGAATATGTATGAACCTGGACCCTTTTAAATTGTGGAGCACCTGATCCAGGTTCTATTCCTTGTTATCAGTTGCCTTGGCAATATTGTTGAAACTGGCTAGGCGAGTCAAAGAAAATGCAAAAAATAAAATAGAGGAAATTTGGTAGGAAATGTAGCATGGATGGATTATTGTATTTCACTAAAATTAGAAAGTAAAGATAGTTGTTGAGTCTTTGCTGCTGTCATGGAATTGCAAAATAAGTAACCTGGGTTAAGGGGAATACTTCAATCAACGTCCTTTTTTTATTTAAAATAAAAAAGACTTGCCAGGAATTTGGCTTATTTCAAGAACATAATCATATTTTTTTCATATAAGCTAGATGAATGCTATAGGTTGTGGCGAGAGAAGGGATTGAACAATGCTGAATGGATTTCTGCTGTAGCATAACAAGTTCATTAAATTTTGTGGGCATATGGATATGATAGATAAAGCCAACGGAATCTGCCAACTGTTTCAATTAATTTAAATAGGACAACTCTTGAATGTATGAAAATGATAGAGTACCAACAGAAACTATTCCTTTAACACCATTATTGGTATGCAATACATTCGAAGATTGCCTAGGCAAGACTCTTACCAAGAGTCAAGATTTCTGACATCTAAACAAAATAGCATCAAATCTCCATCCCGTAGGTAGAATAATTGGAAATAAAAAAATGCATTTGTGAGATCTAGTAGTAAGTAGATGGGGGAAAAAACTTTAAATAATTATAGATTGGAATATTTCTCTGCTAATGTGGACAATAAAATAGACTGGACCTACATTGAGTTATTAATCATTATGCTTTGTTGTCCATATTCAAGAGCAGCATAGGTTTTAATCCATGGAAACTGGTTTTATCCTATATCAGGATGGTATAGAGAGCAAGCAAAGCCTCCCCAGATCTTGGTCACATCAGCTAATGACTCATTCTTGTTAAACTTTCCCCATCCTTTCTTTTTATTTATTTATTTATTATTTATTTATTTTATTAAATTTCTATACCGCCCTTCTCCTGAAGGACTCAGGGCTGTGAACAACCACAAGATAAAACACATAAGTACAAAAATTTAAAATAGATTAAAAAGGAATTAAATAATTTGGCTGAATTTAAAATACCCCATAATTTAAAACAGATTAAAATTTATATTTAAAATTTATATTTAAAAGGGGAGAAGATTTAGGCCAGGCCAGCTTGATGAAATAAGAAAGTTTTCAGCATAGCTATACATCCTTGTGTCTTCCCTTGCCTTGTGCTGTGCAGTAGGTTTCATGCAGAGTCTGTGCTTGTGTTTGCAATGAGGTTGAGGGGCTTAATTGGTGCTTATTCAAGTGCGTCAGAGCATTAGTTCCAAAGGTCAGGACATATTAGAGAGACGTATTAGTGAAGAATGCAGGTTACACCGGTGGTGTTGTGGCTGTTCCAAAAAAATGGAAATCTTGGTGTAACGCATCCTCCAGTTGCTTGTTGCTAGAGGGACTAACTTTCCCAGAAGTCTGCAGGAGACTTCACAAATGTTGTTCTTGAAATGCCCTGGGTCCTTTTTCAACTATCTTGGAAGAGGCTGAGGTCAAGAACTACCAAATTGAATGTGTGAGGAGATGGGTGGTACTGAGTCAGGATGATTGAAAATAGTTGCAAGAGCAGTGGAAAAGAAATTGCCCTCTGGCTTGGAGAATCTCTGCGTGCTGGGGGGGAAAGAAATCACATCAATGTATTCTAAGAAGTCGGATAAATTGACTGTTTGGGGTTCTTTGATTCTCCAAATCAATGAAGGTTTATGGACGTGATTCCATGCAAATTTGCTGCTAGATCATTTTAGAAG